TTTATAATAATTATCATTTTAATCCATACATTGGTAATGTCTGACTGGGTCTTGTGTCACTTTATGTTCAATAAATTGGGCCCCGAGGTCAAAAAGGTTAAGAACCACTGGTTTAAAGCCTGTCTTAAAAAAACACTTCTTCCAGCCTAAACACATCTCTGAGCTCACACTAACACTGACTGTAGAACAAATGATCACTTTTTGAGTTTTAATATTTATCCAGCAGTTTATAAGACATTTTGCTGGGAGACACACGGAGAAACAGGTAAAAACATTACTGCTCTACCTGCAGCAGGTGTCAGGTGTGAAGCTGGTCCTACCTACCAGTTTGTCTTTGATGCTGTCAGAGTCCTCAGCTTGTCCTTGTTGGACCCGGAGCTGCAGCTGCAGAGCATGAAGCTGCAGAAGCAGGTCGTGGACCTCCTTTTCTACCACCGTCTTCTCAGCTTTAACATCCGTCAACTCAGAATGGAGGTCCACCAGCTGCGCCTGGAGAGGATCAGAGAACCGGAGGACGTCAGGTAAATAAGATCAATAAGCAGAGTGAGGGTGGGGCTGTATACACATATACAGTATAAAGACACTCTGTATATAAAGATTAAAAAAGAAACTTTGAAACAAGACTGTYGAGAACTTAACTGTCTAACTTTATCCACACTAATCCAACTGCTTTCTGAGATGTTGTTTCATCAGATTAACTAGTTACAGACTACAGAGTCTCGACTAAGACCGGCGTCACACAACAAGAAAATCAGGCCGATTTTTGCCCTTCCGACAATCTTAAGGAAGTCCAGATTATGGTGATGGTTCTAAAGATAATCTGAGCAGATATTCCTGCAGTGGGTGGTGAGTTAAGAGTCGTCTCAAAAGGACTTCAGGACCGCTCCGACCTCAAATCGGTGATATTCAACATGTTTGATTTTTTGGTCTGATATCACAGTGTGTAGTGTTCACCTGAGCTCTCAGCCTGTTGAATGAGACGTGTAGCCAATCAGAAAGTGAGGTGACGTAAACAAAAACTGACATGACTCAGCAGAAAGTCTGCTGGATGTTAAAAGTCCTATGGAACTGTTTTTCCTCTGGTAAAAATGGTCCACAAACGATCAACATTGTTTTTTCTTCGTCACAAATGTTTCTTTACTCTGAACTCACGTCTCTCTAGAGGTCACGTGAGATTTTTCCTCAGACATCTGAATTCTCGCGAGATTTCATGAAGTCTCACGTGATTTAAAATCCGACATCTGAATGTTCATGAATGAAATATCTTTTCGTGTGTGGTGTGTTGTCTCTTGTCGTGTGGCTGTACACCACACACTGTAGGACCAAACCTGGTAGATCCATGATTTTATCCTCATGTGGGCTCTATCAGTCTTTGAAAATCGGCCGACTGGTTTAAAATCTTGTAGTGTGACTCGGCCTTAAAGTAATGAAGGATTAGACAGATCATGTATTGGAAGCTGGATTAGATTAACAATCTGCACATGGTGCAATGGTGAGGTTGCTCTGAAAACCTGGGGTGGAACTTTCCTATTCTACATTTTAGCAGTCTGTAGATGCGTTTCCATTGCAAATGTGCGCAAACCTTTGTCGATATTCTTTTAATGTCAAAAAAACAGTTTCGCAACTGCAGTGTTTCCATTAAAGTAAGAAATGTTATTAAAATCACTCGTGAATACG